TAAGACATTGTCCTTTGAATAAACATGAAATATTATTTAAATGCTTTGCGAAAATATGACAATGTATAATTTTGGTATGAATTATATTTGAATATAAAATTTAATTATTGTTAGCTTTAATATCAAAAGAATATAAATTGTTCATTTATAGAATATTTTGTTACGAATATACAAATAGTTTATTTTATTTTAATGATATATTATCATGTAACTTTGTAGTTGCCTTTCCATTAATTTTACACAGAAAACTCAACTAAAATTCATTACACCTACAACAGATATATTTCTTATTATTGTAATGTTTTACGGATATGTATGTATACGTTATCAAAAGTGCTATTAGGTAAATGGCCTCTACATACAAGTAAAATATTCTTAATGATATCAAGAGCTTAAGCAACAAATTTTGCTTTGTTTTTAACTTCTTTTCATTCGAATGTATGTGTAAATGGTAGTATCATTCACTTGTCAGGACCGAAACCGAAGGAATTGCATTGAACTCGTACACAATTGAGAAACGTTATCGATACTATTTACGCGTATGTGCTTTATGCCAGTTTTTTTAAACAAAGTCTATTTGGAGATACAGACATTTCACATACAATTTTTATACAACCAATTATTGCGATCAATATAAGTATATTAATGTTTCATAGAAAATCGAGATATAATTATGTAAAACAAATATGACTGTATTCTCCAATAATACTTAACCATTGTAATATACATGCATAAGTTCAGACGTTTTACACAATATATGCTATTAAATATTGAACTCTGTCTTAAGTAATTAAAAAAATAAATTTTTGGAAAATATATATATATATATAAATATATATTTATATATATACTTATATATATTGTCACCTAGTCTCATTTAGTTATTTAATATTTGTTTTAAAAATAAAATATTTAAAAAATTGATATTTTTATTATCCATTACATCTTCCTTCTATTAAAATACAAATAATAGTTAACGGAATACGTAATTGCACGTCGTAGAAATTAATGTTGCGAAATAAATTCTATATTGCTTACGATATGAAATAGTTTATTCATATAAGGACTGAGACATATTTCTCCTTAAGCAAGTCTGTAATTAGAATTAATTTTTTAATGAAGATCGATGCGTAACTTGATTAAAGAAGTCCAGGAAATAAATACTTTCAAATATCCATTTTAGTGTCTACCTTATGTGTCACATGACATACGTCTATTCAGCTAATTCTCGTAAACGATAATAAGCTAATTTATGTTAACCTTTATGAAGATTATATAAATGTATGATACACGTCTTTTACATATACTTAAATTATTACAAAACATAGTCCAATTCATATCTAATATACTGATTCTTTGGATCATTCATAATTCGAGGATATCCAGCTACGAGGGCATCCTGTCCACCTATGTAAAGAGAATTATAAATTTTCCAATATACATCACGTACTTTTCTTGCCGGATGGAACAATCCCTGTAATTTTTAAAATAATATTAATATTATAATACTTCGATCTCCTTTCAGTAACATTTTGAGACAAATTCAAATTTAATATTATTCATAACTCAAACAATTTCGTCAATTATCTACCTGTAAGGTGTATTGCAATATTTTAATTGGTCCAAGAGCGACACGTAAGCCATCCACGGCATCCATGAATGCTTGAACTAAATGTGGCGACGTTTCAAAAACATTGGGCCATACGTGATTCAATAAATGTATCAACGCGTCTTCACAACCGAACCCATAAACACCTAGTGCCATGTGTTTGATTGCAGCACAAGCTGTTTGTCTGTGCACTAAATCTCTATAATAAAAATGATAATAAAAGGATACTTAATCAGTTACAATTAATCATTAAAAAAGTAGTTTTTCTTAGTAACATTTTTTTACCTGTCCATCAATGCATCTTCTAACAGTGGACTAACCGCATAAATATAATCCTTTCCCATTTCCCCGATATATTCAAACAAGAAGGATAACGATTTTAGTACACCGTTCTGTACATTCAGTTCTGGTACTCTGTACTCGTTCATTAATGCCGGTAGTACCGTGAACGGACTACAGGTTTCAGCAACAATAGCTATGGCAACTGTAGTACATACACGATTTTGTCGTTCTTGAACTTTCAAATTGTTCAATAGAGTTGCTAACACATCGTGTGGTCTGTAGAAAGAATGAATAAAGTATTATTCCAAGGTGAAATTGTTTTTAGAGAATTACGCACTTACCCTATCGCTTTTGCAATATAACCAAAAGTGTTCACCGTAGCTCTTCTAATTGCTTTTTTGTGAGCTTTAAGCAATTCTAAAAGTTCAAAACATATTCTCATCCATTCCCTAGCAGATACATATTCGGGTCCTCTATCCGCAATTCTACCAACGAGATCGATACAATTTTCTTGTACCTGAAAAATAAAATATTCCATTAAAGAATTATGCACACAACGCGTAAGACCATTATCATTAATTTCATATAACAGTAATAATATTAACCTTCTCGTGTCTGTTTTTCAAAATAGGAGTAAGTCGCGGTAACAAATCTTTAATTGGTGGTGTCATTTTTGTCATTCCTATAACATTAACAATAGCTTTCAACGCGCCTAAAATGCTACCTAACACTTCCGGATATTCTTCTCCTAGATATTCATAAAGAACAACGCCTAAGTGACCCATCAATTTCTCCTGTAAACAAAATTAAAATACAACATTTTTAATGGGATATTAAATTAAAAAGGTTAAGGATTTCTAAGATGTACTGTATGGTGAAATTAGAAGAAGTTTTACCTCCTGACAGGTTTTCATAACAACAGCAATGCGTGAAATCAAGTCAGCAGCTTGTTGTCTTACTTTGGCTGATTTGTTATTCAACCTCCATAATATTGTACCACATATTTGTGGAAGATACGCCTTTACTCTCTTTCCCAATGTATTCACAATGGTACCAAAACCATTAAGCATGACAACGTCCTGTAATAAAACAAAATCATTGCACGATATTCACGTGTTGAATCCCTAAATTTTGATTATGATGAAAATTACAAACCTCTGTCGTCTGTTCTTGAAATGCGTATAATATACCATCTATGAGCTGTTCTTCCAAACGTGAATCGACATCTGCAGCTCCCAAATTACCCATTATTTTTTCAATAGTTTCCATAACCATCTTTCTATACTGTTCATTTTCATCTTTTAGATCATCCACTACACGGTTTATGATTTCTGATGCACCAACTTTATTTGCGATTTCCACTGTTGTGTCTACGAGCTATAAAATTAAATTTGTAACGTAGAATCTTAATTTTTCGTAAAAATTTACTTATATGTACAATACAAACCTGTCTATAATTTCTGCGATCTAGAGCCATACGGTGATTCCAAAAATGCTTGAAGAAATGTGGAAGGATTTCATCCTTGATATACTGTGCTTCCACACCATCCGTTCCACAACATTGTTTTACTACCTGTTAAATCAATGAAATTAAAACGTGATAAATTACCTATTAGATTTGTAAATAGAATAAAAATCACTTACTTTTAAAACAATCTTCTTCATTTCTTCATCGGGAGATTGAAACTCACGTATAAGAATCAACATTACTTCACGCGTGTAATAGTTGGCATATTCGGCGTCCATAAGAGGAATTAAATAACCAATAGCTTTTAAGAAAGCAGCTAAACCTTTTCCTCGGTGAGTACGAATACCTTTCCAAAGTGGCTTCAAAACAGAATCGAAGCTTTCAATACCATATGGTGTTGCCGCTTCAGCCAAGGCAGCAATAGCCAAAGCAGTAATAGTACGGACTTTCTGTTGCTCATCGACCAAACCTGACAAATCATTAATGTACGTTTAATACATGTACATAATAACAATGTAAGGATTCATAGAAATCAATTTACCGTGTTCTATAATTTCTACTAAGCTCTTCAGATGTGGTAATATAGCGCATCCCATAAGAATAGCGATTTGTTGTACTATTTTAATACCCGTGTGACGAGCTTGCCACGATTTTTTACTGCGACACACGGCTTTAAGAAACGGAAGTAAAGAAGGAATTCCTAACGCTGAAGCTACAACAGCGAACGCTCTCGCTGTTGTGTTGCGCACGTATTCATCGATGTTATCAATATCCGGTCTCATCGTAGAGATCATCGTCGCCAATCCGGCTGCTTTTGCTAAATTAGATATAATTTCTCTACCCTCTACACGAGCATAATAATCTTCGTCAATTAGTAAAGGTTCAATGACAACCAAAATCTGAAATACAAGTTTTACATTTAATAATATCATGATAGATATACATATAATTGGCTGAACACCTGTATCTAAAACTTAGATAATATCTGTATGTACTTACTTTGTGTACGTAAGGTCTGACCAAGTCATCCAGTTTATACAGAATACGGTCGATGACCTTTACAAGAAGATGCCGTTCTTGATCCTCTAATGTAGGCGACATAAGGAGCGGAAGTATTTGATTAAATAACGGGCCAGCGCCAAATTCCCTTGCTTTATCAGTAATTTGTCTGAGAGCCGCTTTTCTCATTGGCGGTGTGCCATTCTTAATTTTTAAAAGTAATTTCATGATCTTTCTTTCCTTCTGCTCTTCGGGGCTAAGCGTTTCCTCGTCAACGTCAACCAATAATTTGTCGAAGTATTGAGCATCTTCCGGCTTCATGAAAGGTAAATTTCCTTTCGGTTGATTATCCACAAATTTTGCAGTTTTGTCCTCGGTTTGAATGAAGAAACCTTGCGGAGTACCGGCAATCGGGGTCGGCGTAGCAGTGAGTTTCCTTGCTGGCGTGCGAATTGGAATGTATCCTGCTGGTGGCTGTAGAACTTTGTACCCAGGTGGAAACAGAGCATCCAATTCATCATCAGAAAGAGGTCTATTTCTTTCATCAATTTCTCGTTCCCAACGATATGCTTGAAGTTGTTCCGGTGTCATCGACATTAAATGTCCAGGTGTTGGAGTAGCCAATCCCATAGCCTTAGGACCTGTTGGTGTCACTCCACTGGGAGTTAAAATTGAAGTTTGATGGGGTGTCGTTAACGGAGTTGCTGGAGTTTGCGGTGTCATAGAACCAGGTGTTTGATTTGAAGGCGTTTCATCCCATCGGCTACGACGTTTACTAGCAGACGGTGTTGGTGTTTCTTGAATTAAATCTCCCGCGACACGATCAGTCCTCGGTGTTTCAGCCCAACCGCTACTGTGTCCAGGTGTTTCTGTATTTGATAATGTAGAGTTATTTGTATGAACTACAATTTGTTGTTAACTCATTCGCGACCGCTGACGTGAATTCACGTCTTTTCAAATGTAATTTTCAAACAACAGATCGTTACGAGATTAATAATTCAAAATACATTTTTTAATTTTTATCTCTCTTTTAACGTCAGAAATTTACGGCAATTAGCTCAAGATTTTCTTCATTTTCGCCAGCAATAAGTATTAGAAAATTAAAAAATTTGCTGGTCACGAATGCATTAATATCTAAATCGTAATACACACTCACCGCGTTCAGTTTTTGGCGTTTCATCCCAACGATTTCTACGACTTGAAACAGTTTTTTCATGTGAAGGAGTTTCCCTGCCAGGAGTAGCTGCACCAGGTGTAGCATGTCCGGGAGTAGCATCCCACATCCTTGTACTTACACCTGGTGTCGCACCAGGAGTTTCTCCACCTTTACCATGGCCAGGTGTTTCATCCCATCTGATAGCAGCTGGTGTTACCTAACAGCAAGCATAAACAAATAAATAATTCTTATGATACAAAAATAACGTTAACAATTATTCAATTATTTACATCTGCATTATCCCAAGATGTTGGTGTTGCTGTAGTACCACTTGGCTTTTTAGGGGTTGGAGCATCATCTGTTTGATCCCACCGACCTCTTTTTTTAGGTGCTGGCTTAGGTTCACCATTTGCTTTTAAAGTTCCCTCTTTGGCTTTTTCAGCTAGTTTCTTTCTTAACTGAAAGTATATGTAAAATTAATAGTATGGTTGATATAAGTAGTAACAAGAAAATATAACTATTATTGAAATGTACCTCTGTTTCCTCTCCTTTGAGTAACTGTTCCCGCATAATTTCTGTGTATGTTCGAGAACCGATGTCTGGAGTTTTGCCACCTGTAATCAAGAATCAGAAGTCACGCAAAGCGTAACCATTAGATCATTGTTCAAAAAAATGCTCAAGCTTTCAAAAACTTCTGAACATACCTAGTCATTTTATTGTAATATTTATTATTAAAATGCCCTTAGAATATTTTGGTATATTCTAAGTAAACTACTGAATTCACTCTCATTTCCATGTTGCACATATCATTAAATTAAATGGTAATAAATGTATTTTAATAAATATTTCATTGAAGGAATCAGTTTTAGGTATTAATTTCAATTAACCACACAATGGGTTTGAGAGAGCTGCAACAGTAGATGGCATATAGCATACGTACGTGAAACTTTGGTGCCATAGGGAGCACTGTCCTGCTCAAGTCTTCCACATCGAAAAATACTTTAGCCATCTAAAAATCAACTCATTCTCGTTATTAATAATATTTGCACACCAACCATTCATACTAATTTTCAATATTTACGTTCTCGCAAAAAAAAACTAATGATACAATGAGAGTTTAAAGATGTTGGTTTGAATCAAAGTATCGAATAAAAGAAATCCGTGATGAAAGAGATGGGTGAAAATATAAAAAGAAGAATCAAAGGATAGTGGGAAAAGTCTCATTGTATCATGTATAGGACATGACTGTAATGTCGTGACAATTCAATCTCGCTTAACCTTCGACATAGTATCCTCGGTAAGCAGATGATTCCAAATGTGCAGACCGTCACTAAGATTGGAAAAAAATGTATACATTAGTATGTATTTGAAAGAATCACATTCATTCTCTTCACTCACGCCAGTTTTTTCTACTTCACATTGCTTCCACAATCTGAGTACAAAGAAATCTTAAATCTATAGTTAACTAGTAACAACTGAGGCAACATTTGAGATAATTCTTTCTTCTTATCTTTTGACAGAGAACACTTTTCAGAAATCATAAAGACTGATTAGAATTAGGGTTAATAAAGTAATGTAATTATTCTTCTTATTCCTCAGTTATTATGGCTAACAATACTACAGCAATATATAATGTGCCAATGAAGTAAGTATTCAAAAGGACATGAGATATTGATGTAAACAATTTATAGATTATTCAATAAAATATTTTCTTGTATTACATGTATTTTGTATTTGCTGTAGTATTAACATATTTAATATCTTCGTTTAATATATACACTAGCTTACTTAAGTAACATACAATTTTATGTGGATTTGTGTATAGACTTTAATGTTATAAAAACATTCAAATAATTAAAAATGTCAAAGAAATAAATGTATACTATATGGATTGAAATATATTAGTAATAATTTAAAATTAAATCATTAGTGTTTTAAAAATTTGTAAGGGAAACTAAAATAATATGATCTCAGCGAACAAATAAAATTAAATATACTTTTTGTAAGTATTTATAATCTTACATCTTTTTTTTGGTAAAACTGAGTTCTATGTTGTAAGGATCAAATGATTAAAAAGAATAATGCATTATGAGAAACTAAATTATTTGATATTGGAGTAACGAAGTTTTTATGTAATACTCTGTTCTTAATTATGTATGTTATATTATGATTTAACGTGAAAAAGTCAACCTAATTTATTCTGGATACAGTATGTTGTTTTCATACTGTAGATTACTTAAGAAAATATATTATATTTATACATAAACAAAATTAAGTTTTGTTGTTTCAAACTCAAGTTGACTTTTTTCTGAGTACACTAGAGTATATTCATTATGAATAATATGAATTTATTCACTTATGAACTGAAGTGATATAAGCTTCAATGTGCATACATTTTGATGCAATGTAATCAATATACAATTAAATACAACACTGGATAATTTTAATATAAAATTTCTAGAATATTGCACTTTCTTGTATTTGTGTAAAAACTTCAAGAAATAATTATTGCAGTACATTACATTGCTTCAAAATATCAACAAAGATAATGATATGCAAACACACTTAATATTTAATTACCTGTTTGATTTTTATAATTTGTAACTTAAAAGGAAAAAAGATACCAACCTTCTGCAAAAGGATCAACACGTTCTGGAGATATAATCATTCTTCGCCGCTTTTGTCTATATTCATCTTCTCTATCTGCTATGGTGGGTCGTCGTCTATCCGCAAATGGATCGTAATCTTTCTCACTCTGTATAATAATTAATTAACATTGTCAATGCCATTAAAATTTCATTAACATTAGTAACATATTTTTTCTTCAATTTCTTACCTGTGCAACATCATTAAGTAATGCTGCTGGAGCATTATAGCCTGGTCTTTTATTCGTGCTAAATGTAGTTGGTTCATAGTCTTCATCCTTAACAAATTAAAAGTAACATCTTCAGTATCCAAACTTTCTATTTCCGATCAAATAAATATTACGAAGAAAATTAAATTACCTCAATTTCATCGTTGGCTGCAATAGATGTAACATAGCCTTCATATTTATTATTGCTTCCATCATAAATATCCTGATCATAGAAACCAGTTTTCCCTAGACCTACTTGATCTTTCTCTGCTGCAGCATTTTGTATTTCTTTCTTCTTAGATTGTATTTCTCTTATTTGTGCTTCGATATCTACAGATTATTAATGTACATCAGTAAATGATCATAACATTAGAAGTGTATAACTAAAGACTAATAAAACAACAAATTCGTGTAACAGGTCACACAATACGGTAAACGCGTTGTACAAGTATTTATTATTGTACGTAATGATGGGTGAGAATGTACAACAGCAATGTTCAACTGCTGAAAACTGTTAATTCACAACAAACAAACCTTCGTGAGTTCTGGGAATGGAATCCATCGTGTAGCGTTGAAACCTAGCAAATAGTAGGTTATTCTCGAGAACTCCACCAGAATATTCACGTTGCACTATTTAAAATATTTGATGAATAACTTTGGTTTTATATCATCACATAAGTATAATATATGCACAGACTTTCGATCAAATGTAAAGATAATAGCAGAGGACCGAATTTCGTTTCCTACCAATTCTTACATTGATAATGCCATAAGATGGCACACTCCGAAACAGTTCTAAAATGTAAAGGTGCGTTCACATGTGTTACAATGAACAGAATTCTAGTTACTGAAACTGAACCTGGAAACTGAAAAGAGGCAAAGTGATTCGAGTACACGCTCTACCACAGCTCGCAGCTCGACCAATACTAAAGATATGCCGAAACTAATTCTGCCATTACCATCGAGCCGAGCGCCGTGAGTGGACATTTTTCCTTGCCCCTCCCTCGACTCTTTTGGGCCGCAGGCCGGCAGTTTACGTCAGTAACACACTGTACTAAATACTTGGTTACCATGAAAAGGTACCTAAAACTAATTACTTAACCCTTTGCATTCGGATGTTTTTCACTAGAAATATTTTAACACTTCCTAATGAGATTTCGTGAAACTAACTCGAAGAGAAATCACACGTATATTGGAGAACAATTCTATTTTATTTCAATATTTCTCAAATTGATGCATTATACGAGGTATAATATTAAATATCAAATTTTATAGTTTTACCGCGTGAAATCAAGAGGTAAGAGTCACCTCTAGAGTGCAAAGGGTTAAAGTGTCACGAATGCGCAAACTCTGTTGCCAGCTACTAGAACTTAGTTACCATGAAAAAGTAACTAGAACTAGTTACTTAAAGTGTCACAAGTACGCAAACTCTGTTGCCAATCACTAACACGCGGTAAAATTTAAATGAGAATATCTTTATCCACCTTCTACTACAGGTTACATTAAAACGTTCCTAAAATTAATGCAAAAATTCTTATATTAAAAATATTGAAATTCACCAGAATTTTCAGCTTATAGGAACACTTTCATAAAAGTTCAAATATTTCAAATGAATAAAATGAAACAAAAATGTTAACTGATGTTCCGTCCTAAAACCCTAAAGTTAGAAGGTCTAGCTACCTAAGTACCTACTTCAGGTAGGTGATGGATTATTATGGATTAAACGACGGATCGTGTACAGTATCTACGGAAGCCTACAGAAGCTTTAATCTTTTATCTTCGAAATCCATCGTTGATGGATTTATTTTTGGAAACTTTTAAATCCGCTACTTCCTGTTGGATTGTAAATTCTGTTTCTTCCGAACCATGCGTATCCACCCAATTCCCACTCCAGAAAATTTTCTTTCTATTTCCACCATTCTCCAGACACACCTTACAACCAATAATAGTCCACTTTTTTAAACTACACCTAAACCGAATTATCTTTAAGCATCTCCGCGACAAATTACAGATGGAACCGTTTCAACATCCGATTAACCCCTTGCCATACAATGACGAGTACGACTCGTGATAAAGATTTCGGACTTAGTTTAATAAACATCAATGTCGTTCAATGCGCATGGGTCAAAGCAAAAAACTATTCTGCTATTACCAATGTATATTATTTTTAAAGTAAATTTGTACTTAAAGTAGAGTGGACAATTTCTTTGCGTTTCTTCTAAACTACTGATAGAAACATTTTGCACGAACTTAGTAGCGAAAGTAAATGATACGGCAAGGAGTTAAATACTAACTTCACCAAGAGCAACCGAGGCTATACTAGAACGTTTTTTTATATTTTTATAAAAACGTGAAAGTACTTTTATAAAAACATTTTTATAATTTACAATAAACGAGACGATTCTCCCGAGTTCAATACTTTCTGTTAATTTCGTTGTACCTGTAATCCGGTTGCGATCTAACTCTCGTATCTCATCGAACGGTATGATACAACAACTGATGTAATTAGTTACTTATAATTCCATAATTATATGTAATATAATTTCAATAATTTATTACCTGCTTTTCTACAAATTTAATTCCACGTGTTCCGACGGTGTTCACGACGAGACGATTTCATATACATTTCAAAATTAATTTATTCCCATTCTCAGGAAAATCAAGTTGTTGGATTATTTAATAAGTTCTTGGATATACAGTTTCCGTGGAACGGGGGCCTACGTGAAAGTTCAAACGTAGCAGGAGACTACGTTGGTCATTAAGAGGCTTGTTAATCACAGTGATTATTGTTTCCAACAGCCACGTTCAGGGTTATCGTTTGTTTGTCTGTTAGCCGTTCCTTTATCCGGAGTTTCATTGATTATTTCGAGTTAATCATTCAAATTCGGGGAACACTTGCAGTACGAGTTTCTTCAAGGAAAACACATGGTATTTCCTTCGATAAAAACGATTAAATATAAAAATAACAACTACAACAACAATTATAATAATGATCATTATTATAATATTACAATAATAATTAGTATTATAATATTACAATAATAATTAGTATTATAATAACAAATATAATACTTATATTTATAGATAAACAACTTTATATGTTAATTGTTACTAACAAAAAGGACACAGTTATGTTTAGATTCATCGGGCAAAGAACTTTGATCCTTTTTTCAGAGGTGTGGCGCTCAATCAATAAAAGCGGTGTCTACATCGCACACAATCGGGTCACTGATAAATTATCTACCAATCAATATATATTCTTCGTGTATCTTTTATTAGTCATTATATAAATTTTAGGTGGTCGTAAACCAAAGAAAGGAAAAAGAACGAGGAAAAAGAATGAACGCTTGATTTAACATCTGCAAATACAACGCGCAGCGTTAAGATCGATGGTAACGATAACGTCGTGCAGGAAACAATAATAACAAAAGCTTATAAGTCTTCTTGTTCGCGATAGGGCTTGATTTCTTTCAACGACGTCCACATGAAATACTCCATTGTGCCTATTTCCGATTACGAGCACGGCGGACCATGTTGCATAATTAAATTAACGAGTCCCTGTTGCGTCGTTAAAGAATCGTTCATTCCAACTCTGAAGCCGCGTGATGATGGGTTTGAAAAAAAAGTTCTACATCATTTTTATCTGCTGTTTCTTTAATTGTACTTTACTTTCGGATCTTTTTGACGTTATGCATTTACTTTATGTACTTTATTATTGTGTTGATCCACTATACTGATACCTATATATTTTATTCTGCTATAGTTTATTTCACTTTATTGTGTGATCTTATAATTTCTTACTCTATCTTATTACACTCTGTGCTATCGTACTTTATCTATATCCTTTCTTTCTTCTTCTATCTTATTCTTATCTCTATTTATACTATTTTACTTTGTAACGATATGTGCTGCACGTTGTCGCATGATACTTCAAATACTCCATTGTATAGTATTCTATAGTATTCTATTTCCATTTAACGTTAGTCAAAGTTATATATGTATGTTTATACTGCTTCCCTTCCCAAAGGCGTTGCACCGTGTCCACCTACTAGTCGATTCGCAAGCAATGGCAAACAATGCGCGTTGTAATAGCAACACGAGACGCGGATCCTGTTAATATTAAAGGTAAACGGCGGGTCGCTGGTGACGTCAAAGGAAGGATGACTAAACCGTGGACTTTATAAATACTTTCAAATTTTTGGAGTGACATTTCACGACCGACGGCTTTATGATTCCACGGTTACTGAAAAAATTTCGTATCCAGGTACAATCGGTCACAAACATATTGGGACACCAGTACAATTTTGACTTCTGAATTGGAATTGGAACAAATAAATAAATAAATATATACAAAAATGAATTGATATATGTTACAATACATTATAAAGAATATATTCATAATAGATTCAACTACTGTCTTACCTATGGTTGTATTAGTATACAACTGGAACCTGAAAAATGTCAAATTTCACGTCACAAAAATATTGGGACATTTTATCTCACTGTTAGTCATAAAATAAAAATAATACATTTGGTATAATTTTTTAATATTTTGTTGGATGTACTTTATTATTAGTAACATGTCTTAATCCATTTGGCACATTATGAATTAATTTTTGTAAATATTCTGTGCCAAATTTGTGCCATTCTTATTTTATTCTGTTGTTTAATTCTTCTTTATTATTAATTGTAGTTTTATGAACTCTGCGGTCCAATTCATGCCACAAATTTTCAATGGGGCTTAAGCCTGGGGATTGGGGAGGCGGCTGCAATACTTCAGCACAATTATATAACAAAATATCTTGCACAATTCGGGCTTTATGCTTGGGGCCATTGTCTTGATAAAATTTCAACCCCTGACCAATCCCCATATCCGTGGCACTGTTTTTTCAAATTCTCTTTCAGAATATTTAAATACCTGTTCTTATCTCAAATTTCTTCACTGAATATAATTTCAGCCACACCATGAGTGGATATACACCCTCACACTATTATTGATCAGCCACCGTGTTTCATCGTTGGTTGCAAATACTTTGGTGTCAATACTCCTCTCTTTTTTTTTCAAACTCTTCCGTCACTGGTATGAATATTAAACTTACTTTCGTCTGCAAAAATAACGTTGTTCAACCACACAGGCTCCTTTTTAATAATTAATTACCATTGAGTTCATAAAATGATAATTAATAATAAAGAAGAATTAAACAGTCGAATAAAAGAAGAATGGAACAAAGGCACAGAATATTTACAAAAAATAATTTGTAATATGTCAAATCGACTAAGACATGTCATTAAAAATAAAACATATCCAACAAAATATTAAAAGATTATATCAAAGATTATTTTTGTTTCATAACTAAGAGTGAGGTATTTTTGTGACATATTTGACATTTTTTTTTATATTTCTTCTATATTAACGTAACCACAAGTAATAAACCAGCCATTTTTTATGAATACATTCTTTATATTGTACTTCAACATAATGCAACTTATTTTTATGTACAATTGCATATTCACTCGAAGTACAACCATTACAAGTTAAAATTATATACTGGCGGTACAATATTTTTGTAACCGACTGTATATACACTATATATACTTACACGTTCGTAGGAAACGTTTTTATTACATTTGCACTTGCGTGTCGCATGCGTGAAATCCATGGTCTATAGATAGGCGGATCAATTATCCGATGATAATCAACCGATTAAATATTTTTGTGAGACGAATGTCAACGATTCGTCCGAAGCGATCGCATCTACGCGAATAGCGACCACGAGTTAACGTGTCACGGGATTCTCGGTTCCACGATTCGTCGAAACCTTCCCAGAATTCTAGGAATTCTTTGCTCGCAGTTTCCCTCGCCTCGGACTTCACGCGTGTAATTAGAAACGGAT